CCAGCTTCCTGCTGATGTGCCCAAGTTACTGTGGCCTTAATCCTTGCTCCTGGCTTTAGCCATGTCCACACTTAGTATTTGCAGTCATTTAGAGAATGAACCAAAGAGGATGAAAAATCTCTGTCTCTTTGTCGCCCTGTCTCTGTCACCTTTCACATTTAAAAAAAAATTAAGTAAATATATATATATATTTTAAAAAACCTACACATTTGTTCATTCTGTTATCAGACATGATCTTGATTTTCATCTGGGTCCTGGAACATAATTATGCTGTTCCTTAGAAAATAAATTCAGTTGCCAAATATGTAGCTCCTAATGATTAAGTGCCCTAATATAAAGGAAATGTCTCCCTAAAACGCACTGTCCACTCCTTCCATTTGCACCACTGGTCCTCTCATTTGAGGTCTAATTCTTCCTCTGGGATTTGTTGCCTTCCTTGTGCTAAGCATTGCCTTTTTGCTAAAGATGTCTCAAAAAATGCAAATATTCAAGTAAAGAATAATTAAAGCTATTATCACTTTGTGATAAAGTGTTTGTATGATTTTTCTTCTGAACAGAATTATCTCACACACTAATACTTGGTGTCTGAAAAAGATATAATAGCTTTTAAAGATGCACTAAAGGGCACAGGATGTATTTCACAATTTTATTTAAATAAGATTTCCTAGTTAATCATTTATTAGGTAGTAAAAACCTTGCAAAACGAAACTAAAGAAAATAGGTATAAGGGGTGGCCTCTGAAGAAGGCTTCTGCGTAGCCGGGCGCAAGGAGGGTGAATGGGCAAGCTGGAGTTTTGACACAATGGGTTAAGCTGCTGCTTATAATGCCTGCGACACATTGGGACATTCACATTTCATTCTGAAGTGCTGGGTCAAGTCTTGTTTCTGATCTATCTTCCTTCCAACACATCCTAGGAGGCAGTGGAGCATGACCCAAACACTTGGGCCTCTTGCCACCAATGTTAGAGACCTGAATGGAATTTCTAACTACTGGCTTTGGCCTGACCCAGCCCTGTTTGTTGTGACAAGTTAGGAAGTGAACCAGTGGAAGAGTCTCTCTGCATCACTTTGTCTTTCAACTAAATGAAAGTAAATATTTTTTAAAAATAAAACAATGGTCATAGGAGGTAAGGCTACATAGTCTCTAACACATTTTTGCATTTGGTTCTGTAGACATGTATTACGTCTACAAAAATTTCAATAAAAAAATACTTAATCTCATACCTTGTCACTAGTAATAAGCCAGCTTTCAGATAAATTTTACAGAACTCTGACATTTAGAAGTTGACTTTTCTTCCTAAAATATTGAATGGGATTAATTTAAAATATGATACTTTTTTCAGGGTGATTTCTCTTCAGAGTATTAAACATACTAAGAGTACTTAAAGGGCCCAGCGTGATGGATCAGTGGCTAAATCCTCACCTTGCATGTGCTAGGACCCCACAGGGGTGGCGGTCTGTGTCCCACTGCTCCACTTACAGCCTAGGAAAGCAGTCAAGGACAGCCCAAAGCCTTGGAAAGCTGCACCCACGTGGAAGACCCAGAAGGTGTTCCTGACTCCTGGTTTTGGATCTGCTCACCTCCAGCCATTGTGGCCATATGGGAAATGAACCAATGGGCAGAAAATCTTTCTCTCTGTGTGTATCTCCTTCTCTGTAAATCTGCCTTTCAAATAAGTGAAAGGGAAGGAGCAGGAGGAATCATGTACCGAAGGAAACATGTCTATATAGAACAGCAGTAGCATGGTGAGCTTCAGTGAAAGAACCTGGCTTGAGATCAGTGCCAGGACATGTTTTTGAGTGGAGACAGGTGAGGTGGGGGCTCAGAGAAGCAGCTGGAACTAGTTGATTAAAGCTGAGCCCAAGTTTATTTAAGCTTAATGGATTGTCTCAAGGATTTTCATCATGCAGCCAGTGTTATGTCTGTGATGCCACCATCCCACATGGCAGTGGTTCAAGTTCAGGCTGTTCCACTTCAAGTCCAGCTCCCTGATAATGCACCTGTGAAAGCAGCAGAGGACAATGCAAGCCCTTTGGCCCCTGTACCCATATGGGAGACCCAGATGAAGCTTCTGGCTCTTGACTTTGGTCTGGCCCAGCCCGGGCTGTTGCAAACATTTGGGGAGTGAGCCATGAGATAAAAGATTTATCTCCCTCTCTCTTTCCCTCTTTGCAACTCTTGACTTCCAAATAAATAAAACAAATATTTTTTAAAAAAACACAGAACAGTCTTCATCAGAAGAGATATAAGAGCAGATATGTGTTTTCAAAAGATGTGTTTTGGCTTCAGCATGAGAACAGAATGAAGAATAATGAGTCTGGAGTTGGGGAGGATGGTGACAATCATTTTAAGACAATGCCTTGTCTGTGATGATTTTTCAGAAACAGGAAGACAAGCTACATATACATATATATGTGTGTGTGTATGTGTATATACTTAAAAATACTTATAGCAATACTAATAGTAAAGCTAATAGCATATCTGTATTAGCTATTTAGCATTCATTCATTCATTCAACAAGCACTAACACCTGCTAAGGCAGGGGCTGGTGTTGTGAAAGAAGACATTACCCTGCTCTCCAAGATCCTCCTGTCCTACTAGATGGTCCATATTCACTTACCTGGCTTGTGACTCAGATCAAGCACAATGGCATGGATGTACTTGAGAAAGAGACCATATACCAGTAGGAGATCCAAACCAGGGTGTAGTGTCATAAAAAAGCTTAGCGGGGAGCTTAAGACATGAGATGACTCCCCTTTACCTCTTCCAGGGCAAACATTTCTAATACGTGGCAAGTAAACATTAGTCTTTGTTTGAGGGAAGGGGTTAAGAAAACAGGAATTTGGGGGTGATTGACTGCTGGTGGAATTGTATAAGTGAGCCTTGGAAGCAGAGCAGCATTTGTACATCTAAATTCTTGTCCAAATCCAGCAGCCTTAGGTGGGTCTCAGCCCTCTACCTAAAGCAGCTTGGGGGAATCTCCCTGCCCTGCTAATAGGTCCAATAACACTATGCTTATAAAGTCTCGGGGGGGGGGGGAATTCCATGAATTCCAGATCCAGAGACTCCTGCACACAGCAATATCCCAGAAGTGGACAGGCAAAAGAGAGCAGGGAAATGGTGGGCTCAATTTGTAAAAACTTCTAAAAGTAGACCGAACCTTAGTTCTTTACTGACGTCCACTTGGGTTGTCAGCTGTGTTCTTTCCATTACACTTGGCTTGTAGGCTTACTGCTTCTCTGTCTCATGTCTGAAATTCTTTCCCTGTGAGAAGACAAGAGCCTTTGATAGGCCATCTCCTGTAATACACATTAGTGTATGCTGACACTTACTCAAAGAGTAAATCTTCCCTAACCCAAGTTAACCATGATAGTCAACACTGATAAAACATCCTGTTCTATTAATTTCAAATCGATTCATAGATTTATTGTAAATGCAGTGGGTATTGTAGTATCTACCTCAAGGGTGAGAAAAGTGAGGCTAGAGATAGTTTCTCATGGTCATACAATCAGTAGACCCAGTCAAACGTGCTTATGTACTAAACTAACCAACCTTGGGCAGTGGGCCAACCAGGACATTATTGGAATGAAACCAATATAAAAGGTGCACCTGAAAATCTGGCAGAGAACAAAGACAACTGCTCACTTTAGTCTCCGGAAGGCCAACGCTGTGAAGGTTTTATTATCGGAATAAAATGAAATTCAGTAGTGTAGTGAGTCTCTCATGCAAGCCCTGGCCTACTCTTATTGAATGAATTCCATTATCAAACAGTTCTTGAACCTTATTTTTACTCTTCAGATACAAACCACAGCTCTACCATATGGCCTAGAACACATCCAATAGTATTCCAACAGGGCTTCTCATTTCGTAGCATTTTAAAATGGGCAAACTGGTGGCAATGGAAATAAGAGGTTGAGATTTGTTACCCTTTGGGATTTTGTTAAAGTGAGAGGAAAAGAAAGCAAGTTATCTCAATGAGAAACAAATGGAATAAGCTTATTCTCAGGCTATGTGGATTTCACTAGCCAAAAAGCAGAGTTCCAGTAGGACCAGTATATATCCGGAGAATTCGGAGTGGAATAAACACAAAATAGGAAGGGGGTCGGGGTGAAAGTCCCAAATCTCCAGACAGGAAAGAAAACACCTGTTTGGTGTGTTGCCACTGAGTGTCAACAGCAATGGCAGTCTTGGGCCCAGACACTGCACCGCCTGTGAGAAGATTCCCAAGCCAGATGGCATTTTCAAATCTACTCTCTCTCTCTCCCCCACTAACCTACATTGCGTTTCATACAACCACAGCCATTTTCACAAGCTGCAACATTTAAAAGTGGTCACTCTCCCCTTGAGAACATAGAAAACCTCTTTCCATACCCAAGACTTTAAAAAATCAATAGAATTATGGATCTGGGAAACAACCATTTCTGAATCGGCGCACACGCCCAACATCCCACAGAGTACAGCTTCACAGACCTAGAGCTCTCACGCACACATTCGGCACGGTTCCCAGCAATATACTCTGAGCAAATTCATTCACACCAGAGCCCGTTTCAGGGTTTCACTCTCCACCTCTGAAAAGTAACTCCGGGTGCCCCCATGTCGACGTGGCTGACACCCCGGTAAATCATCCGTTGCCAGCAGTATTTCGGGGCAGGGGGTGGGGGTCTTCAAGTGTCACCGACTGGCACGCCCCTCCCTCAGGGACGTCCAGATTCACCCCTTCCCCCGCTTCCCAGGCACACTGAGAGTGGCACCTTGCTCATGCGGAGTATTTACAAATAAAAATGCTGGGGAGATGGCTTCCCCAGCCTATCCACCTGCCGAGTTGGCACCGCATCTTATTCAGCCTGATCACCTCGAAGGCGCTGACTTCTCTACCTGACTCACTTTCTCACACACACACACCCTCGCCTCGCCGTGGGAAGTTGTGAACTCGCCCGGTTCCTCAAGGGCCCGCCGCGCACCCCCGACCGCGCCCCTCGCGTCGCCGGCAGGCGGTTACCTCCTTCCTCCGGCTCGGCGCCCCGGGGCGGGTGATGAGGGCAGTCTCCTCACACACCACGGCCACGTCCTCCACGAACACGCAGTCCGGGAGGCTCTCGTCGGCAGGCAGCTCCACCACCTGCAGCCCCAGCTTGCTACCCAGCACGCCCACGTAGAGCTGGTGCTGGCGCTCGGCGCGGGCGAAATCCACCTCCTCGCCCTTGGCGCGCCTCAGTGCGTGCTGGCAGAGGGACTCTGGCAGTGCCCTCACCACGGCGTGGGTGGCACGACCGAAGGCAGAGGGGTGGCCGAGCCCTGCCATGGCTCCGGAAAGCGACGGGACGCGGCGGAGGTGGGGACGAGGGGGCGCGGCGGTCGGCTCGGTAGCGGGCAGCGCGCGCAGAGCCTTAAGAGCGCCCGGCGGCTCCCCTTGGCAGCGGATGAATGTGGTGCAGAAGGAGCCCGGCTCGCGCCCGGAGCCCTGCCCGCGCCACTGAGCATGCCCAGAGCTCCGGGCGCCGGCCCGCGCGCAGCCCGCGCGCCCACTCCGGCGCTCCCAGGTTTTGCGACCGAGCAGGAGGGAGTTCGAGTCGCGAGCACCGCGTGAGGCGTGGGGCCGGGAAAGGCCACCGAGAAAGCGGACCAGAGGTACGCACAGGTGGAGGCATCTCATGCCGAAGTACCCCTGACCCGCACCTGACTGTGTGGTTGCGCTGCAGGTGCACGCCTCTCACCGTTGCCTGTCAGGACCTGGAGAGCACGCTGAGGAAGGCAGTGAAAAAAAGAAGGGTTTCTTGGCCAAGAAGCGAGACATGGAGGTTTCTTGGACAAAAAGTGAGACATGGAGACGGTTCTTTCAGACACAAGTACTTGAATCTCTTTTTCCCCTCTCCCGTAGCTGAGCATTCACTCCTTGCTTGTAGATTGGGGAAACCATCAGGTCTTAATTCCCAGCCTTGCGGTCTCCCCTAGTCTGAAGCTTCTTAGCCCTGATTTTACTAAGATTAACTAGATAAATTGAAGGAAAGTGAGGATGTCACGGCAAAGGAGGGAGGCTACGACACCATGGCACTACTGTATAATAGGGGTTCGGGGCCAGGAGAGGGAAAGAGTAATCCAAGTATTTATTCATGAAATGATTATCCCATACTTCACCTTGTGACCACCAAAAAGCCCCTGAAAAACTTCTTTGTCCAGGAATCTTGGACAGGTAGGGCATCTTCAGAAGTGAACGCCATATTGTGACCAGTCAAGGGGAGCCACTAACTAGACCATCCAGGAACCTGGACATTCTCAACCCCAATTTCAATTTAAGGACCCTTTACCCTAACCCCTCACCGAGTGGAGAAGGTGAAGCCATACCTGCTCTGCTCCTTGCTCCGAGCCCTGCAATAGCTATTTTCTCCTACTACCTTGGTGTCAGTAATTGGTTTGCTGTGCATTCAGCAGGAAGATCCAGTTTGGGTGGTTTGTATCAATTACTCCAGACAGTTCTGGGGGTGCTCCATAACACTCTCCTGGGTGTAGCTGATCCAGCATCTGTTGCCAATTTTTAGGCTCCTGGTATGAGAATACTCTTTCTATCAAATTCACATTACCTGGACTTCCCCCAAGATGATCTTATACCCTATATGAGATTGCATATCATTAAAAGAATATATTTCTTCCAGTCCCTGAAGGAGAGAGATAACCCAGGAAGCAGAGAGGAATACACAGATGGGAACACAGAGTATTTAATAAAGCAATCAGCTCCTAGGAACCACGTGATTCTGGTGTGTTTGTCTCCAAAATATACAGAGGCAGGGAGGTAAGCCCCAGCCACTCCTATTGTGCTCACCTTGGACAAGCATTCAGGTCTTAGACCAGTGAGCTCCTTGTCCTCCGGAAACAAGGTTTCCATCCTTCCAGCCCACCCCTACAATAAGACTCAGACTCCTGTGCACAGCTGGTGTATTGCCAGCATGCTTTCTTTCATAATGATAACACTATTCCTCTCCCCACCTACCAATTAATGTCAGGTTAAGTAATCTGTGAATTGTATTCTTTTTGAGATTGTTTTTAAAACCTGGCTGAAATTCCAGAATAATCCCAGGTAATAACGTTCTTTTCTTGTGTAACATACTTCTAATTTAAAGCCTGAGTAGGTCAGCAAACATTAGATTAAAATGAAGCTTTAAAAACCTTTGTATCTCACTTCCTACCAGATGCTCTTGAATTTCAGCTAAAACAGCCCTGGCGGACATTGGTCTTTCTGTGAATCTTTTAAAATTTTACTTACAAAGTCTCTTCCATTTTTGAACTATAAACTATAATAGTTTAAAAATTCATTTTGAACTTAAATCCCGTTGGTCCCAGTTCTGCCTTCTAGCGTTATCTCTGTATTCTAAAATCCTTTCAGAAAACAGCATTCACGTATCTGAAGACCGTTCTGATCTCTAAACTGTTGACATCACCCTCTCTACCCCCAATGATGACCATATTAAATCCTGGAGCCTGAACAACCAGAGTAACTAGTAATTTAGTTTCTAAGTCCCTTCAACATTCTAATCACCTGCCTTTTGATACACACCAGTTTGCCTCCATCTATTTCAAGTTCTGCTTGCCAGAAAGGAAATAATACTTGCTGTGTGGTCTGACCTAAAGACCACAACAGCATCTTTATTGCAAATACTAGGCTTCTATAACATGCCAAGACTATTCCTTCTTTGACCATCTAGTGCCAAGGCCCCGACTGCAGCCTTATTGACAGAATTCAAGTCCAAACTTCTAGGAAACACGCATTTCTATGTATGGGTTGGTCTGAACATCTTACAATAATTGTCCCAACAAAGCCCAGAGAAGTTGGGATCTGTTGTCTCTCTTCTCCTTGGCAATAACTTGAAGGTACAAAAACGCAGGCTGTTCAGTAATGGTCAGCTGTACCCTCATCCTGGAGAATAAGATCAAAAGGAAAATAAACTGTTGAGAATTGGGGCTCAGAGGATGCTACTCCTTAGTTGTGGCACTTTCTGGTGTGTTGACCTTCTAATGTAAGCAGAAAGCTTGCTCTGGAGTTCTCCTTAGCCACAGGAAGACCTGGACCAAAAGAATATGACTATTTTTCACCCTCACTCTTAAATCTCATTATCTGTCCCTAAAGCAAACTAGAGACTGTAACTACCCATGGATGGATGGACTTTCTTTCCAAGACAGTGTCTGTTCCCAAACACCAAAGAGTCTTTTTATAAGTGAATTTCTATCTCTGAGACCATTGATATCCCCTGGGAATCATTTGGAAACTCTCAAAATTATCTACCATTTCCATTTTTCCATCCCCATAGTAAAAGAGGCATATGCGTTTCTGAATAATGCCTAATCGGTTGGAAATCCCAGCACAGTGGCTCTTCCCTTTTGTATGTCAATAAATGTGCATGCCTTTGCCTACTTATCTTAATCGTATTATTCCAGAAAACCATAAAATCACACAGGGAAAGGAATTTCTTTTCCCCATACACCTACTAGGTTTTACTTCTATAGCAAAACTTTCAGGGAACCTGGGCTGTCCTTTGGCACCAGTTTGAAGACAGCATTCGATAATGTCCTTATATAGTGGATTCTCACCAGTATTATAGGTAAAAATTGGCCCATATGCTTATTTTGCCCCAATTAACACATGGTATTTCATTCTCTTGTTACCCAACATTGAAGTCAGATTCACTTCCAGTTGGCTACTATCTAGTAATCTTGGTTCATGCTTGTGCCTTGTTAGAGACAGAATGCTTCACTGTCTCAGTGTCCTGAGCCTAACTGTGGACAACCAATTAAAATCTGTAAGAAAAATGGGTTTTTGGCAAAGTGACTAAGCCCCTACTTGGGATATTTACATTCCATAATAAGACACCTGTGTCTAAATCTCAATTCTGCTCTCGCTTGCAGCTTTCTGCTAATGCATACCTTGAAAAGCAAATGGTGAGGAGTCAAGTATTGGTTCCCTGTCATCCACCTGGAAGACCTGGATTGAGTTCCTGGGTCTAGCCTGGCCCTATTTGCTATGAGCATTTAGAAAGTCAATCAGATGATGAAAGATATGTCTCTGTCACTCTGCCTTTCAAATAAATATAATTCATAAACAAAAATAAAACATTACCCTGTCAATTTGGTGTTGATGTCTTCATGCTGAAGTTGGATAGGTAATTGTGTAGTTTTCCTCTTAGGTGTTATGTGCCTCAATCTAATATGTCTAGCTTTGATTCTTCCATTGTTTGCCTTATTTATGACTTGTGCCATTAGAAATATGATAAACATGCCCTCTGTCTCTTCTAAGAGGAAGAATGCAGGTGGCAAATCCAGTAAATTGTAATTTAGATGCTTTTGTGCTTCAATAACAAAAGACTATTTCTTAGGAAAATAAACCTTTATTAGAGTTTTTCCACACATATATACTGAAAATTCCCATGACAAAGATTAACTTTAGAATAACACAAAGAACAGGAAAACATAATCATTGACTCCAAAGAGAACACAAATCTTCCTAGAAAAACAAGACACCCAAAATCAGACCCAAGGTAAGTATGGGAGGGACAGATAACACAGTGCTGCACAGGCTGAGAGAGGGAGATAGCTCTGTGACAATGGTGAAAGACAAAAGCAGCTTGAGGATGACTAGAATCAGTGTAGGCCTTGAAAAAATTTTATGGTGAAAGTAACTGAATGAGAGGATGATGATTCTTAGGAAAAGTATGTGAGAAAGCCAGAGCCACATTCAAGAGACAATTCACTAAATACTAAGGCAATTCTAGGTGCTTTAGCAAAATAACAAGAAGCACACAAATGAGAAAACCAAAATTATGATGGCACAGAGCTAATAGACACTTATCTCTGTTTTAACACAGATGTTGCTGATTGATCTTCAACTCTTCTCCAATCAACAGTTAGGAATCCAGCTTTCTTCCTCTTTGGCTCCAGTTAAATATCAGCCATCTAAATTCAGCCTGCTCATGTGGCTTCATCAGAAAAAAAGGGAAAGGACACTTGTCATCAGGCCTAAAAAGATTCATGGGTCTGCCTGGCAAGGAGGCAGGTAACCTCTGCTCACATCATTCTGGTTGGAGTTCAGTCACCAGCTGTAGTAACTGTAAGGCTGGGAACTATGGTCTACTGTGGGTTCAGAAATAAGAAAAAGCAGATTTATTTATTTTAAAGGCAGAGAGACAGAAAGGTTTTCTTCCAATGGCTCACTAGCTTAACCCTTGGTGCCACAACCCCAACTCTAAATCTTCAGAATGGCATCATCTCTGAAACAGCATTCCAGCTTTGCCCTGTCCTTCCTTCCTCCCTTTCTTCCATTTAAGATTTATCTGTTTGTTTGAAAGGTATAGTTATAAAGACAGGGAGGGATGGAATAAGTAAGAGAATCTTTCATCCACTGGTTCACCCTCCAGTGGAGCTTCTTCTGTGTCTTCTGTGTGGG